CAGCAGAGAAAGAAGGAGGAGGAGGAAGGGAAGCGTGCAGAGGCCCGAAGATTACAGACCGAGGTCCAAATCTGTTTCTTCTCTCAGGTGCGCCCGTGTTCCCCCCTTTTCTGTCATCCGTCTCAGCCCATTAACTTGTTTTCAAGGACGATGAAGACCCGGACCTTCTGCGCGAGCAAGACCTCCCTTCCCTACCGTATTTCAATTGTCGAAGTCTCTCACCCTCCTCCGCAAAATGAAGCTCGCTGCGACGACGAGATCGGCCTGTACGACTTCGCCATGGGCCTATGGAGACGCGAGGATGTGGACACGACCGTCCGCATTGTTCCGGGACAGGCTCTACTTGTACGGCGTGCTGGCATCGTTCGCTGCGCTTCATTCGATCGGATTCTGGCCCGCACATGCCCCAGCCCGCAAATCTGGCAAGTTGGCCGGCATCCCCTCATCAAAATGTCGTGAGCATGAGCGCGACCCCTTCCAATCGCATTCTCCAAGCGCCACGTACAACTGGGAGAGACCCCCGCCATCCACGCAGCCCTGGTCCCACGCTCAGCGTCGCCTCGTCATCGCCGTTTCCTTCCGTCCAAACTCTTGCTGTCCTCGCTTCATGTCCTCAAGCAGAGACAAGATGATTATGCCATTCCCATACATGCTCGGGCTGTAGCTTAAAACGTGTCTCCATCCAGTCCGGATGATCGGGAAAGCTCTCGGGCTGGGAAAGACTAGCGTCATAGACCCGCGTCGCCGTTGGTGGCTGAAGTCCACGAGATGAGCATTAAATTTAGGAAGAGCTTGAGGACAGTTCTGTCGACATATTGATGCTCGCCAACCTGGATTGCATCGGGTATCTTGTCGTAGTATGTGCGAATTCCATCGCGAACGACATAATTTGGATAGTATCGAGCATGGCATTCTTTGGGCGTCGTTGAGATTTACCGAAAGGGAATTTTAATGCTGCTTACTGGGACATGAGAGATGTGATGCAAATGTAGGGCAAGCACCGTCTGAGAGCGTATACAAGATGACCTTCGAAGCACCATCCTTGTCCCGAAGCATCTTTCTGTTGGAGCAGCGCGGAGAAGTGCAGTAACGTGTTGGTGGGAAAAGCATGTGCGCCGCTGGGAAAAACTGTTATAGCGGGACATTGAATACCGAAAGACAGTGCTAACAGAGCAGATGATCAAGCCCAAAGTTCTTGAATGCCTCAGCGTCGGTGCCTGTGGTTTTGCCATTCTCATTGTATGTCCATACAAGATTGCCGAATGTGTTCCAGCAGCCGTCAATAGTGGCGGTCAGAGTAGACGATTCTGGGTGATTCTCGCCTCGATTCTGACAACGATTCTGACGTCAATTCTGGAATTCTTTTTCCAATCACATCGTGTGAGAATCGCTCAGAATCGGCTTTTAATTAAATTACAGCCAGAATCGTGTCCCGAGGCGCTTCTACACACGATTCTGGAGGGCGATTCTGCATCATGACGATTCTCCCACGATAAAAGAATTCCAGAATCGTGTCCAGAATCGTTGTCAGAATCGCCCATTTAAATTCTACTCTGACCGCCACTAATGTACTCAATTGGGATGTCGATGGCGCTGCCGAGAAAAGTGCGGATGCCCGCCGGGATCTCATCTGGAGGTTGCGACGCATCGTGGGATGGGGGCTGGGCGGTGAGGATGGCATCTTTCAGCCGAGCAGCTAAGCGGACAAATTTCATGCCCTTTTGCATGCCAATACTGTCGCAAAGGCCGGGGACAGTACTCAGCTGTGCGTGGATTTCGTTGAACGTGTCCATAGCTCGAGATTACAAGGCTTGAAGGGGGAGATACGCGTAACGTCGCGTCAAAGAAAAGTTGTACGTTAATTGACGCGACGCGCCGAGTACTTACCTCCGATCATAATACCGCCAAACACGTAGCGTGACATTCTCAAGTCTCGCAGAGTATACAGAGTATATTGAACACATGGATTTTGTCAGAGAACTTGAGTATACGACCGGTTTGCCGAAATTATACGGGAGTATACGTAAGTATACCAGGTGTAAGGAATATCTGTAAGTATACCGTCATTTTGTATACTTCCGGGCTCACGTTCTTTCTGAAACTTTGAGATACGCGAAAAGGAAAGTCATCGCTAAGATCCCAGAACCAGGTTTTCGCTGGTCGTCCTTCGGTACCAGGGAGATCAAACGCGCGCGCGACATTCGGGTTCCGAATCCTATTCCACCCCAAGCGAGAAATTAGGTTTGCGTTCGGAAGGACTCGGAGTAGGGCATCAAGCATGGATCTTGCCATCTGGCCGCGAAAGGAACCCCGAGATCGACAGATAGATCCCGGTGCCAACAACCTGAGATGCAGGCGGTTCAAGTTGCGGAGGTTGGCCAACAACGAAACAAGCCGGACTCGGGCCCGGCAGTGTCGGATGTGTGGGTGTAATTGGTCGAAGATTGGGTCCAAAAAACGACGGCAGGAGACTGATTGTGGGTTGTAAAATCCAAGCCGATATCTGATATATCTCATATTTTGGGCGGCTGCGGCAAAGTGACAAAAGGCAAAGTATCGGCAAACCGCATCGAAGAGAAATTGAAGTCCTGTATTTGCACTTGAGAAGTTCTGCGCTCGCTGACAGTTTGCTTCAGCTCCAGCTCGCTTGTTGAAAAACCCTGGAATCGCGGTTGCGCGAAGTCTTTCGACTTGAAGAAATGACAAAGACATGATGAAAAACGGGAGAATTCGAGCTCCGATCAGACACTGATTGGAAAGTTGATCCGACTCAGCTCTTGCTTTTCAACTACTACTTATGTCCTCGAGCACACCTGCGGCACATTAATTATATCGCAGGTCTCGGTGCCACACGCTCTCAGATGAAAAATGGCACAAAATTTTTGAGCTCACCTTCACTTCAAGCCTTCACGCAACCTCGTTTGCTCTTAGGTGGCACGTTTGCCCAATTCTGGGCGGGCTCTCGCGGTCGCGACTAAGTACATGATTTCAAGCTGTCTGTTCCTCAACTTACTGGTTGCCCCAGCGCTTACAGTACCTATCGTCCGCTTTTCTGGCATTATCTTTCTCATCTAACTAACACCTTCAGCGCCTGCGAGCGCCGAGTTGTTTTATGTAAGATTATTAGTCTTTGGCAGGTGGACTTTCTGGATAAGATTTGGAACCAGCTGTGGCTAGGCCTTCCAACCAATCCGGGATTGCATTGAGAAGATCCTGGCGCAACCCTGGATCATACATGTAAGGTCCGGAAAAGTCAAATGAAACAGCATCCGCAAGGCTCCCGATGACACCACGCGAACTCTCCGAGAATTTGAACAAGAGCCACCGGAAAATCCCGGTCACATAGACAAGGTCCCGAATTCTCCCGAAGAACCGGTCATAAATCGCAAAAAGGTCATTGGGAAGGTTGCAAGAGTTCTTTCTAGTTCATTGTGTCGTTTGCAGCGAGAAAGTTCATGCACCTAAGCGGAACCTGGGTTTTTACAATGAGGATTAGTTTACGAACAGGGCAATGAGCATGCTCATATTTCGCCACTCTTCTCAGCGACCCGAGCGACGAACCCTGATTGAGATGTCCAGATTTTCAGCCTGTGCTTGTCATGAAGTTCATGTCGATTTCAATTTTTTGAACAATGAAGGGGCAGACATGGTAAACGGCGAAGCTAAGAGGACACAGCAAAGCTGGCGCAGGAAATTATGTGTAGAAGAACTCCACGTAGGCGCTAAGTACATGTCAGAAAATTGGTACGATGAAAAAAAAAAGCCGCAGTCCAGTGACAGGAGAAAAGCGCACGAGACTCATGTCCGGCGTCTGTGGAAGATGTGAGAAGGAGAGCAGTTGGCATGAGGATGCTAAGAGTGCATCAACTCCGTCGGAAGGCGGCATTTCAGAATGTACATCGTAAGAACCCGACGCAGGCGCGCATGGCGATATACTGTAGTATTTCGTTCAATTCGTAAGGTCACGCGTCACACAGCCAAAAATGTACGAAAATTTTCGTAAGTCACCCAGTCAAAGAGGTGATTTTGGGCTTAGCCGAGCTAGCCGAGCTTAGCCGAGCATTGCCGGTGGATCAAATTCCCTAAAGGGGACCGGTTACGAAAGGGTCAGTTTGTACGATGGTGTCACACTATAGTCTGATAGCAATCACGGTCCGATTGTTGGGCGACCGACTGATTACGCAATATGGTGGCTGTGCCAGCCGACGGCCAGTTCGCCTGTATTGCAGCGATGGGCCTCGTCAAAAATCCGGAAATATTTGTAAAGACTCCTGGAGCAAACTCAAACATTCTACCCCACAAGAATCTCTCGATTCAGCCAGTCACTTCTCCAGAACAGGATCAGGCCAAAAAGCTGCTTATGTAAAATGCTTCAGAAAACTCAGCTTGTATCGCGACAACAAATGAAGGAAATTCTTAGGTTTAAGGGAGGGGCCTCTGAATTGGAAGTAGATCTGTGTGCTCAAATATTCTCAGATTTATCAGCGCGTTGAGGCGGAGGTAAAACACGAGAAGGAATTTGATCGGTGGGCCAACAAGATGGTCGTGTTTACTAACAGACCTTATATTGATACTTACTTGTTCGTCATCAATATAGGGTATCTGTTACAGAGACTAGTGTCACACCCCAAACTGCCTTACGAATTGAATGAAATACAACAGTATATAAGTAAATCAGATGGTCAACTTTATAGACTGCAGGCGCGGGAGAACGAAGCTCAGCCAGAATCACGATAGTGCCATTTAGAAGAAGCTTGCGAGATTTGTGTCACTTGTGAGTTTGAGCGCTTGAGTCTCGACGTCCAGTGGGTTCCATGATCTGAAGCAAAGTAGAATCGACTCTTGAGATGGACGTGGGAGAGCCGAGACCTTAGCGATCGATCGATGGTCTGGAAAAGTCAGGACTCAGCCTCAGCAAAGATGTCAGACTCCATCCGTTCTTACATGCCAGGGGCAAAGCGAGAGATAAGGGGGGAAAAAATGGCTCACGAACAAAAAAATGCATTAAGGGGGAATCGAACCCCCGGCGGGTCGAGATCCAATAATGGCAACGACCCAGGTTACCACTACCCCATTAATGCGACGTGCAAAAATCAGCGGGGTGAATTCACTATCTTCACGGCGGAATTTAAGAGCTCAAGTATCCGCAAGCCTCCCTCCTTTGTTTTTACCACAGCTAATTGCAACCCAAAAACTCCAGAATATGGTATAAAATTGCAGTACTATACACAGCAGAGGTATGATAACGACATGTACCTTGCACCTTGTTCCTTGTAACTCCAGGCGATGCAACTAAATATGTGACGACTAGCTATAGATATGTATGTAGGCTGTAGCGGTAGCGGTAGCGATTCATTCAGATCATTGAGCACTGTAAGTATATACGAGGCGAGGATGAGCGGCGGAGCGGGGATGATGATGTAAATGCAGGTAGATAGGAAGGGGAGACGGAGACGAGATGAGATGAGATGCGGAACGGGAATACTAATACTGGAGTTGGTAAAGTACAGACAGGCGTTAAGCCGTATGCGATATGGTTTGGATTGGATTGGGTAGGCCGCGCCGCCGCCATGGGTGACTTGGGAACACCCGCACCACGCTGCGGAGCCGAGTTATACGTCGAGCCGCAGGGGGGCCGGGGACCAAGCGAGGATGGCGCGTGGTAGGAATCAAGGCAGGAGGGGATCGGGACTTGATGAAGGGATTGGGTGTGATGAGGAGAGAGTGCGAGGACGCCGAGGCGTACCTATCAAGGATACGAGCGAACAGCGCGAGACTCATACCCCTAGCGCATAGCTCAAGGAACTCTCGCGCTCGCGCTCCCTCTCGCCGACGCTAACGCCACCGACGTCCCCCACCGCAACGGGAACGGGGGCAGGCGGGGAGGGAGAGCCGCCGAACCAGCCTAAGCCCATCGCACCCATTGCCATGCCGAACATGCCAATTCCCATCTCGACACCCATCCCCACCATCGAGCCGCCGCTAGAAGAGGCTCCTGCGGAAGAAGGGGTGGAAGCAGACGGCAGCCCAAGAGCGACACCCCCACTCGTACCGCCCCCGCCTCCGCCGCTCTCCTCGTCGTCGTAGTCCGCGTTCGCGTCGACACTGCCTTGTGCAGAGTCCGCATCAACGTCCATCGCGTCCCCGTCTCGTTGCTCAGACCCAGACCCGCTCGCTGCCGCCCCACCCTCCACCCCGACACTCTTCAAAAACTCCTGCCACACCGCCTCATCTGGCTCAAACGCCTCGCTCATCTCCCTCCTCTCCTGATCTCTCCTTTCCTCCTCCGTCCCCGCCTCGTCAGGATCCTCCTCCCCCGCCCCGCGCAACGACCGCACCAGCTCCCGCAGCCCCCTCATCGGCAACATCGGCGGCTCCCCCTCCTCGCGCAGGCGCGGCAATGGCGGCACCTCCTCATCCGGCACGCCCTCCACCCGACTTCCCCCCCCAACGCCGTCACCCCCACCATACGGCCCCGCCATCTCGCTCTGCATCTCCACCGCACGCGCCATGGCGAGGTACATCGGATGCGGGCGCGGCCTCGGGTGCGGCAGCCGCCTCTCGAGCGTGCCCTTTCCCCGGCCGACGCCCATCCCCACCGCGTCGTCCCCGCGCCCGCTCCACGCGGCCTTGCGCGCAGGATCGACCGGCGTGCCCCGCCCGCGCGCAGCACCCGCTGCGGGGGCGATTGGGATATCCGTGAAGAGGTGCCGCAGCGCCGGCACGCGCACGCTCGCGAGGGGCGGCGGCGGGAGCGGGAGCGGCATCTGCGCGAACGGACCGGGCCCGCCCTGCAGGAGGTGCGCCGGCGGCGGGGCGACGTAGAACGAGGAGAGCGCACCGCCCATGCCGCTCCCCAGGTCCATGTCCATCTCGCCGCCCCCCTCCCCGCCGCCGCCGTTTTCGTGTCCTGCACCGGCGCCGGCGTCGGCGTTTTCGTGGGAAGGCGAATCGGGTACGGGCGTCGTCTCGAGCACAAACGCCTGCTGCTGCTGCTCGAGGTCGAAGCTCTCGCCCCTCGCCGTCCTCCCCGCTCCCGTCCGCGCTCCCGTCCCCCTCGCTCGCGCTCTCCAGTTCCCAGTCGTAGTACTCCTCGTCCATGAATAGCAACGCGTCAGGATGGGGGAGGCCGCGTGACGAGAAATAGTCGTCTGTCTCCTGTGCGACGAGCGAGCGGATGAGCGAGGGCGTGTAGCGTTGGCGCCTGTACAGGAGGAATGATATCAGCATTTATCACATACGGCGAGAAGCAAGCAAAAAAAAACGACAGGGAGACGCGAAGCGCACAAAACCACCGAAAAACACCGCTCCCCACGAGGATGAAACGCAGAAGAAGAAGAAAAGAAACGAAGGACGCGGGATGAATGAAGAAGCAACGAAAACTCACACATCCCACACCCGCATCCGACACGCGATCTTCCACGGGCCCCACCCCATGTTCATCCGCGTCGCGGGATCCGGCCCCATGTCTGCGTCCTCCTTCGCCTTCTTCGCCGCCGCCATCTCCTCCTCCGTTTCGGGCTCGGGTGACGCGCCGTCGGATTCGTTCCCATCTTGCTGCGATGCCGAGTTGGGGTTATGGGAGTGCGAGTTGGAGGCGTTGGAGGCGGGCGGGTAGAGCGGCTCGACAGCGTAGACGAGGTCTGTCCGTGGCTCTTGCGGATGCTGCTCCTGCTCCTGCTGCTGCTCCTGCTGCTGTGCTGGAGCTGGAGACGGAGGGTCTAACACCAACGGCGACGGCGGCCCCATCGTCTGCCCCTTCCCCTTTGCAGGAAACGGCGAAACGATACAAAGCGGGCTCCGCCTTCTCATCCGGCCGTACTCCTCCTCGGCATACGCGTCCTCGGGCGCGTACCCGCCCGGCGGGCTGTCCTCCTCCGCGTCCTCGTCCGAGTCGTGCTCGGCGTCCGCGTCCGCGTCCGGGTCGTGCTCCGCATCCGCATCTGCATCTCCATCCGCATCTACGTCTGCCCCGTCCGACTTCTCCGGCGTCCGTTCCTGCTGCTCCCCCATCTCGACATCCTGCCCCTCCTCCTGGCTGGGCGCCCGACTCCGGCTGTCCCTCCGCTCCCGCCCCCTGTCCTCCCGCACCCGCGCCCCCCACCACACAGGCGCCCCCCTCCCCGGCGGCAGCCCCCACTGCCCCTCCCACCGCTCCCGCTCCCGCCGCCGCTCCTCCGCCTCGCGCGCGTCCAAGAGCGCGCGCTCCCCCGCCGCGCGCCGCCGCTGGATGAGCGCGCCCCACTCCACCGCGCGCGTCTGTCTCTCCGCGGGCGACGGCGGGTGCTGCGGGTGCTGGTGCTGCTGGTGCTGCTGCTGATGCTGGTGCGGATGTTGATGTTGGTAGGGGTACGCGGCGGCGGGGGCGGCGGACGTAGACGCGAACGGCGCGCCGAAGGCGTCGGTGAACGCGGACGGGGACGACGCGGGGTACGGCGCAGCGAAGGGCGCGTACATCCCCGGCCCGCTGCTGCCCCCCGCGCTGCTGCTGCTGCTGCTGCTCTCCGCGAGCGCAAACGGCGCGTGCGGCAGCGGCCAGTCGGGCGACACGGGCGGGCCCGGCGCGATGCCGCCCAGCGCGTCGGGCGTACCCAGTCCCAAGCCCAGAGAGAGCCCCAAGTCGAGCTCCGGTGCGTGTCCGTGTCCGTGTCCAGCGCCCAGCCCGTGTCCTAGGCTGAGCCCGAGCGGCGCAGGCGGGGGCGCGAGCGCGAGGTTGCTGAGCTCGTCGGCGGATGGGGTCGACGGTAACGGTAGCGGTAACGCAGGCGGCGCGAACGGCGACGGGGCGAGGTCCTCTGGGGAGAGGGCACGTCCAGAACAAGGCTGGCTTGTGCTCGTGCTCGTCGTGGTTATGTGTGCGAGAGGGGGCGGGGCGGTCGAGGAGGACAACGAGGAGGGTGTGGTCTGCGCGATGGTGGGGCTCGGGGTGGGGCTCCTCGCATTCGTATTCGGGACGGTGGGTGCGGCGGCGAGCGTCGTCGTACTCGGCGACGCTGCGTCTCCCTCCTGGTGCTGCTCTTGTCCTACACCAAAAAGGTCAGTGCTGGCTCCAGAAGAAAAAGCGAGCATACCCATCTCGACGTCCTCATCCCTCTTCGCACCCTCCTTCTCTTTCTCTTCAGAGCGCGGCAGCACCCCCTCCATCTCCGTCGGCTCCTTCTTCACCTCCCGCTCCCGCTCCCACGGCGCCAACGCCGCGCCCAACACCTCGCCGCGCTCCCGCGCCGGCGACGTCAGCGGGCTGCTCAGCGGGCTCCCCTGCATCCCCCCCAGCGCCGTCGTCAGCCCCAGCTTCGGCGTCCCCAAATTGGGCGACAGCTTCGGGCTCGGCGGCGCGCTCTCCCCCGCGCTCGACTCGACCACCAGCCCCATGTCGATCTCGTCCAGCCGCCCCGGCGCGGGGCTCGAGCCGCGCACGTGGCGCGCGCCCGCGCCTGCTGCGCGCGAGGAAGAGGGGTGGGGGGAGGGGGAGGGGTGGGACGCAGACGACGGGGTGGCGCTGCGCAGTGTCATCGGGTTCGCGCGCGGGGTCCTTGATGACGAGGAAGCATTGGGGGCAGCGGATGAGGTCTGAGGGGGGGAGTAAGTACGGTGAAAAAGGTATAAGCAGAAGTGAAAACGAAAGAGAAGGAAGAGAAGCTGAGGGACGAGGAGACGTCAGACGTCACTTGATGAGTCTCTTAGACGTCGTGGTTTCCCAACACACACTCTGTCGCCCCCAGCACTCATCCTTGTCGTCGTCGTCGTCGCTCGGCACGGTCGCTTCGCTCCCGTGCCTCGCTCCTCCTCCTCCTCTCGCTGGGCAGAAAAATGACTCACCCCGACCCGACCCGTTCTCCTTGTCGTCCTCCCCGACTGGCCATGGGCATTTTTCGCCGGAGTCGATTTTTGTGTGCGCGTATGGGTAGAAGTGGGGGAATCATGCTGCGTATCGGGGGAGGACCTCGAGGACGGCGAGGACGCCTTGGATTTGCCTTTCCGCGTCGGGGTGGCCTGGAGGGTGTGTTAGTAATATGTATATGGATATGATAGGAATCGCAGCGGAACATGGATGACAATATGAATAGGATAGGAGAGCAGAAGTGAAGTGAGGTAGAGGAGAATGAGAAAGAAACGACAGGCCGGCGCGCGCTGGGAGAGCAGAGGGAGCGCAAAGCGTCAGGCACAGAGCAAACCGCAGTGTGTTCCGGGATGCATCTCGAGTCACAATATGACAGGGAATACAATAGGAAAAGGAGCCAGAAGACGGAAAACAAAAATGGACGACGGAATAAGGAAGGTGCTGGGTAGACAGCGCCCAGTCCGCGGTGCTACCCCTTTTCCGCCAATCGCAAATGCCAATAAAAACCGGAACAAGAAACGACAATGAAAAGGGCACGGAACACAACGCACCTCAGCCGGACACCGCACCCTCGCACGCTTCGTGCGCACGTCCTCCCTCTCCCCGCCATGCACGTCGGGGCTCTTGCGCTTCCCCCTCTGTGCTGGGGACGGCGGTGCGTCGCCCGCCTGCGCCTTGGCAGACAGCCTCCTCGCCGACGCCGGGCGCAGGATGCGCTGCCCCGCAGGTGTCGCGGGCAGGGCGTGTACATGCACGCGCGACGTCGACGCAACGGGCAGCGTCGGGGTCAGCGCGGGTGCGAAGCGTGCGCTGCGGCGGGGACTCGTGCCTGTCGTATCGGGGGCCTCGTTGCCGGCGGTGGTGGTGCTGTGGGCGGTCTTGGTGCGAGGCGGCATGTATAATCTGCTGCGCCACGCGATTGCTTGCTTGCTCTTGTCTTGGTGCCTCGTTTTTCTTGTCTCTTGTCGTTTGCTGTAGTTCCCGTGGACGCTTCCTGTAGTTCCCGGGTCTTGCTCGTAATGCGCGGATCCGTCGCTGGCTTGTGCTTCTCTTTCCGCTTTCCCGTTTGGTGACTTGTCTTGAGGCGACGACAACGGGGATCCCAACAAGCACCCGTAAACACAAATCCTCACTCCGCTCGGCACGGCCATGACGCAGCACGTGCACTGCCCTGTCTCTGCCCCTGTCCCTGTCCTCTCCTCCCCTCCTCTCCTCAACTCCACCTCGTCCTCGCCTTAATCACACTCGCGCACGTACGAACGCGGTGTGCTGATCACATTAGTGCAAATCGGACTTAGCCATCCAGCCACTGTTAGACACTTCATCGCTTCCATTGACCGCTTCCCGCGTCCCGTACGCAGACGGACGCAATAGGGTGATGCATTTTGCCTTTTACCATCCACCTATTCCCGTTTGTTATGTACATTGCCGTTTCTAGTAGTCCCCGTCGTACCCACTGCCGTTTCCAGTAGTCCCCGTCTCGCAATCAATATATTTCAATTCAGTTGTGCAATCAATCTAATCTCCTTTTACTCGCTCGTCCTTTTGCGGATGATATGCAACTGTCCAAGCGCAAATCATGGGTCCGCTGTACTTGATCCGTCGGTGCGAACGGCGTTTTGAAGCAGGAACACGATAATCCTCGGCATGGGTCACGCGATGGAAGTAAACAAGGACAGCAATGACCTATATGTTCACCGTACGGGTACCTCTTGGGAGATTATGTGGAGAAAAACAGAAAAAAAATCTACCTGGTCTGGTATATGCATTAAGGGGGTATCGAACCCCCGGCGGGTCGACAAATTAGTTACAACCTGCCAATGGCAACGACCCAGGTTACCACTACCCCATTAATGCCTACTTAGCCTCCCACCCTGCTTGAGCTTCTACCCGAGGGCATAGAAAGACGCGAAATACAAACAGTTGTGGATGCATTATGATCAAGGAGCAAGGTCACAGCGTGGAGCGGGCTAATGGCAACAACCAGCCTCGTGTCTGAGCCCGGTATGTAAACATGGACCGGTCAAAAAAAATAGAAGGAGAACCAAGAAGCGAAGGAAAAAGAATGGATCACCGTCAGTGCATTAAGGGGGAATCGAGCCCCCGGCGGGTCGACAACGTTACCAGTCTGTTCTTGGGATGGCAACGACCCAGGTTACCACTACCCCATTAATGTCATACCATTATGCCTCCTCATTTTCCTTACCCTGCTCACACTTCTTCAGCTTGAAAGGACTGCCAGTGGTCTTGTGGGGTGGAGACTCAACCACTATGATGGCAACAGCCGGCTACCACTCCTCTTGACAAGTAAAAGGGAAAACAAGATGTGCCTTGGCTTCAACACATCTCTGGAGTGTAGTATTCAAACCCGTTCCTTCCTTCAGTGATCTCCTGGACATATCTTCAACAACATTGACACCACAATCTGTCGCGATTTCAATGCTGCAACGACGAGGTTTCATTCAGCTCAATAACCCAACCGTCATTAAATCGTAGCTGGTTATTCCGCCTCGTCCTCACAATTAATTTAGGGAGGCTTCATCCAGATTCGTAAATCCAACAAAATCAACCCCTTATCACGAGTATATACAAGATTAGTGGGAGTGAGAGCCGTCGAGTTGCACTGATAGTGTTCAAGTCACACTTTTGTCCATCAGACAGTGGAACTCGGTTTCCTGAGTGTGACTGGTTACCCGATGGCTTTGATGGGAAGGAGATCGGCGCACGTTGTGCTGATGTTTCGGATGCCAACTAGTCATCCAAATTTACGCCCAGTGTAAATGAAACCTCAAACTCAATTCAATGTTTGCAGTGCAGGATCACAATGTTGAATTTAATATTTACAATGAGTAAAATCAATGGTATAAGTTTGGAAATTGAATTCCATCACCCAAATAGTCCACCGCTTCAGTAATGGCAGGTTGGATTACCACATTGGGTGTGCACACAAGATGAGTTGTAATCAGCATCGAGGGAGTTATCTGAACGCAAATGAATTGCCAGTTTTTCCACTGAGGCTTTCCGTCTCCCAAAAAAATCTAACATGTTACTGTTGCGTAAAATGGCCGGTCGGCACAGTATGCTGCAATGAGGCAACAATAAAATAGATAAATTCATATCAGTACCATCCAAGGAATGTAATGACTATCTTCACTGGCCATACTGAGTTTCGCAGTCTTAGTGCCACGACGGAATCTAATACAATGGTTGCGAGTGCATGGCCTTGGAGATGAATTTTGGCATCTTGGTATTAGCCTGTTTGCGCTGCAGCCATTGGAGCCATCTGATGGCTGTTTGGCATTGCGCAAATGGATGGCTAATGGCTGATGTATGGCTAATGAAGTGAGTTCTCTGCAAGTCATTTAGTGCAAGAATGAGAGGCTATGAGCATGTGAATGCATATGGACCTCCAGGAATGCACCGCAACTGCATGAGAGCATCAAATTGAATAAAATTGAGAATTTTGGCCCAGCCATCTGACCTATGAGGAGGGAGAGGGAACTATGTACTGATAGATGGGTAGTAAGAGTCTCAAGTGACCAAATAACACGAAAATTACAGGTTGGTATTGTAGCCATTTGAGCCATTAACCATCATTTTGCGCAATGCAAAACAGCCATGAGATGGCTCCAATGGCTGCAGCGCAAACACTCTATTAATCTTGACCATAATGGGACTCAGAAAGACCCCAGCATGGCGTAGTGTAGTTGATATTCATGCAACATGTTCAGCTATTAATGAAATGTGAAAGGGTTGATCAAGATGGTGTGCTGAGCAGTGGTGTTGCTGATGCTGAATTGGGGACGAAAAGTGCACGATACGGATCAATATCAAGATCATCGGCGATGAGCGGGGATTGATTGTGCATCAGTGCATCAGTCGCACTGCCGATGCATTTGCCATCAGTCGCACTCTGTAGCAGGGTTGAGTCCCATTAATGGGAGTGAGTCCCACTTTCTAAGTGCTGGAGTGGGACTGGACAAGTCCCACTTCCACTAAAATTGTTGTTACTCCCTTATCGCCAAGCCCTAGGTTGCGAACAGTGCACACACAACATTGCCCTTGGTCCTGCACCCATCCCCGGATGAGGCAAGTTCAAACATTCCGGGACTCATCACATGCTTGGCATCCATCAGCCACTGCTGGTCAGAGAATCGTCCCCATCAGTGTGAGTTTTGAGCTTTCGACTCCGTGACATGACTCGATCCCACTGTTACTTTTCTCAACCTCGGTTCCTTTGTGAAACATCGAGACTTTACTTGTTTGCAATCTACTCTACTTCCCCCACCTCATTAGGGATCGGCACCATAACCGTATAATACGGCATATGGTTACGAGTATACAGGTGCACCGTACCATCCCATATCGACCCCACAATGGGTGTTGTACGGTTACGAGTGGGCTCCGTACCATGGCTGTTGATAGGGCATGTACCAAAACATGCATGAAAACACCAGTTTTTATTTCATTTTGAACCTATTAGCGGGCAGAAGTGAGGCATTAGATTATGGGTGTACACCCTCCCTGGGGTGGTAGGCTACACTATTGATGGCTGAAAGTCAACTATGAAGGATTGAGTAGACTTGACAAGGCAGCCCAAAAGGCTGTTACGTCCTGACCATGATATTCTACACTGAGCTATAGACGGTGGCGGTAAACCATTGTCTTATGCGCTGGAGGTGAAACATCAGGGAACTACTCAGAATTATTGACTTGCCGCTTCAACGGCCTCTGAATAGTCTGATGACTATTAAAACAAAGATATACGAAGTCAGGATTGGTACAACCACATTAGGGCCGGCAGAGATATAGCGCCGCTTGATTTTGTGTATAAGTCCAACTAATTAGATTGGGATGAAGACATGTTACTGAGTTGACCATCACTGTGGTTACTCGGGCAGATGTGACCGTTAGAAAGATGCAGGCCTCGCATCAAGGATTGACTGATATGATTAATGAGGATTGGCACTACAGAATAGCGCCGTGCTATACTTCACTGGTCACTATACTGGTCCTCCAGTATAGCGCCGTGCTATACTTCACTGGTCACTATACTGGTCCTCCAGTATAGCGCCGCGCTATATTGTCAATCTGTTTGATATTTACTATGAGTTCCACTGTGCTTGTGAAGTACAGGACTGATACAGAAGTTGAATAGGAATTGACTAAGACTGACTTGACCAGTCAGCAATGACTAAAGACTGACTTGCTCAGTCAGAAAAGATGGAAACCAAGACAACTAAGCATGCCTTATGGTGTGCTAGAGAAATACATGTGGACTAGCCCCGGTAGCAGGTCATAATACCCATGGTTGAGAATGCCTTCTATGCCATCGGCCATTCACTACTTGGGCTCCCACCCTTTATTGTTCCTATTCATTCTGTCTATCTCCTTTACTTCTCTCTGAAATGTATAAAAGCCAGCTGTGTACTCTGCATTAGCCAGTAAACTATCCCCCAGATATACGGGCAATATAGTAGACTCTAGATTTGTGAAAGAAATCAGATAGACTTGCAGACGCACAGAAAAGACTAAGAGATACGGGACGTCGAAAAGACTACCAATTGCATTGATATAAGAGCCCCGCTCAACCTGCACCAACCCGTCTCCTGTAGCAGCACTTTAGGCCTCCAGGATTAAGACTAGTTGTGAAAACTGTACCCACTCGTCTCCTGTAGCAGCGCTTTAGGCCTCCAGGATTAAAGGCTAGTTTGTGCACATAGAAGTGAAACCGCTGCCTTCAGTGTAACTGTCCGCGCCTTAGCCCAGCGTCCACCTTCTGTGTAACCGCCCCCCGTTTCATTGATACTGCCGCCATTCGTGCAGCGTTGGTTGATATTGAAGTAGTGTCAGTCTGTTGATAGTCTGCCCTACCTTCTGCTCCTTGGCTAGCTGCCAGTAGTGTTAGGTTCTGCCGCTCACAAAGAAACTGAAGACTTGAACAGTCTAAGGTTTAACTTGAGTCTTGATATCCTGTTGGCGTGAAGTCCCTGCTACCCCAGCATAACCGTGCTTAAACTGCATAGTTGCTATTGAAACAAAGCCTTATTCCAACCTTGCACACCCTTTTGACGGGTGATACGTACCCTACTTCCCTGAACACATACACACGAGTATTAGGATTAGGATTAGTGATTTGTTTTGGTTTTGGTTGGTTTGAGTAGAGTGACTAGTTCGCTTTTCTCACTAGTCAATCCATTAGATTTCACGGCCGCACCCTAGTGCACTGTTTCACCGTAACTTAGTAAGAGGCCGTATCCATACAGCTGTATATGAGCCGTATATGGACTGTAAAATGACTATAAATAGAATGAATTTTGCCTGCTCAAGGCTGAAATGAAGTGTTCCCCAAGGGCTGATGCAGTGGGAGTCCTGTCGCATCAGCCACTGTCTCCAATGATGCACCTCAACATCTGCTCACCAGCATCTCCAAAGAGCTAAGTTCTTCCCACATACCGTCAAATCCGATGGATTACTGTACTATTACGACCATTTATTCAGGTGACGGGTGACGGAGGGTTGTGAAATGAATGAATTTGCCCCTGGTGACGGTGACATTGAACTTTCTTGACCCAAGTAGGCTGAAAAACATCAAAATTTTCGCTCCGCTTTCGCCGAATTACCATTTATAGTAATTTTTGCGTGATTGCCGAGAAATGAAGACCTTATCCAGTGAAATTTTGAGGCGACGGGTGACATGCTGTGAACAAATGGTCATAATAGTACAGTATTCACAAGGAAAAGTCTGGAAAATTCCACCCAGAGGAATATTTAACCGCTGGTAGCGCAGCGGATGGCAAGTCAATGGCATCCCCAATGTCTTCCCTCTTTGCGTGCGAGTGTATAAAAAAAGGTGG